TTGTTTGGAAGCGTTGAAGGGAGAGGCAGCCATGGGTGCTGCATTAACGGCAAAAGAAAAGACGAGCATAATTGAGAAAGTCCACAGTGCAATATTGTTGAGCCTTGGTGATAAGGTTCTTTGACAAGTATCAAAGGAGACTATAGCATCGGGATTATGGGTGAAACTTGAAAGTTTGTACATGACCAAATCTCTGGTGAATCGAATCTACCTGAAGCAAGATTTGTATTCATTTAAGATGAATGAAGACAAGGTGTTGACTGAGCAGTTGGATATGTTCAACAAATTGATTCTTGATCTTGAAAATATTGATGTAAAAATCGATGATGAAGATCAAACACTGTTGCTGCTGTGTGCTTTGCCCAAAACACATACTCACTTCAAAGAAACTCTCTTGTATGGAAGGGAATCCCTGAACTTTGAAGAAGTTCAATCAACCTTGTATTCTAAGGACTTGAACGAATGAAAGAAGCATAAACCTTCAACGGTGGGCGAAGGTTTGTCCGTTAAGGGAAAATTCTTACGAAAGGATGGTAAGTTCGACAAGAAGAAAGGTAAAAGTCAACAAAAGTCTTATAGTAGCGAAACATCTAGTATTCGATGTTATCACTGTAAGAAGGAGGTTCACACAAGAAAGATGTGCCCTGAACGCCTAAAAGATCATGGAGGTAATGACAACGCAATCATTGTTCAAGATGACTTCGACTCATCTGATGTTCTTGTGGTTTCATGTCAGCGAAAGAGACTTGGTCGAATTGGGGAAGCAAAACCTGCTAGGAGGTGACAAAGTCGAAAAGTTGGAGTTTTGTGAATCTTGTGTATTTGGTAAATACTGTAGGGAGAAGTTTAATAAAGGCAAGCAAAGAAAACATGGATCCCTGGATTACATTCATGCTGATCTTTGGGGGTCTGCAAGGAATCCTTCACACTCAAGTGCAAGGTATTTGCTATCCATCGTTGATGACTATTCCAGAAAGTTGTGGGTATTCATTCAGAAGACGAAGGATGAAACTTTTGAGAATTTCAAAAGTTAGAAGATTCTGGTCCAAACTCAAACTGTTAGAAAGGTTAAGAGGTTGAGAACTGACAATAGCCTTGAATTCTGCAATGAAACATTCGACAGTTATTGTGTTGAGTCTGGAATTGCAAGGCATAAGACTGTATCAGGTACTCCTCAACAAAATGGCTTAGTTGAGAGATTCAATCAAACAATCCTTGAAATAAATATATGCATGTTGGTTAGTGTTGGATTGAAGAAGGTGTTTTGGGCAGAAGCTATTTCGACAGCAGCTTACTTGATAAATAGATGTCCCTCGACTGCCTTGGGAATGAAGACACCTAAAAAAGTTTGGTCGGAACATCCACCTAGTCTCGACAGACTGAGAGTATTTGGTTGTGTGGCTTATGCTCACATTAGGCAAGACAAGGTCGAACCTAGAGCTCTGAAATGCATGTTCATGGGATACCCTGAAGGAGTCAAAGCTTATAGGCTATGGTGTCTAGAGCCAGGTCATAGGAGGTGTATCACTAGTCGAGATATAGTTTTCAATGAAGTAGAGATGACCTTCAAGAAAACTGATGATGCTGACGAAGAGCTGGAAAAGGGAGAGGTTCCTGTTGAGGTGGAGCATGTTGATGTTGAATTGCGTACCTCAGCCGAATTCGAAGAAGACGTAGAAGATGTTGTCGAAGATGAGGAGACTGATAATGACTACCTGCTAGTAAGAGACAAGTCGAGGAGAGTCATCAAGCCACCTCAGAGACTTGGGTATGTAGATCTTATAGCTTATGCCTTAATCTCTGCAAGTGAGGTTCTAGACGAAGAACCTATAGACTATAAGGAAGTTATGAGGAGTCGAAAGGAGATTGAATGGATGAAGGCCATGGATGATGAGATGAAATATCTTTATAATAACAACACCTGAGAACTGATCAAGAAACCTGTTGGAGCCAGGTTAGTCAACTGTAAATGGATTTTTAAAGTTAAGGAAGGAATTGAAGGAGTGGCGTTGAAAAGATACAAGGCAAGATTGATTGCTAGGGGGTTCACTCAGAAAGAAGGCGTCAACTTTAATGATGTTTTCTCTCCTGTTGTGAAGCACAGATCCATTCGAATGTTGCTTGCCATAGTGGCACAGTTCGACTTTGAACTGGAACAAATGGATGTGAAGACTGTGTTCTTATATAGTGATTTAGATTAAACAATCCTGATGAGACAACTTGAAGGGTATGTCAAAAAAGGGAAGGAAGATTATGTGTGCAAGCTGAACAAATCCTTATATGAACTGAAATAATCTCTTCGACATTGAAATATGAGATTCAACAAATTCATGGCACGCATAAGTTTCATCAGAAGTTAGTTCGACCACTGTGTTTACTTCAGATTTTGACCGGGTAATTCATTTGTTATTTTGTTGCTCTATGTGGATGATATTCTAATAGCAAGCAACAACGTCGAGGAGGTAATGAAGGTGAAGGCTGAACTCAATAAGGAGTTCGACATGAAGGATCTGGGAGCTGCGTCCAAGACTCTTGGGATTGACATCTAAAGAGATAGAAAACAATCGAGATTATGCTTATCTCAAGAGGCATACCTACGGAAGATTCTCGAAAAGTTTGGTATGTCAAATTCAAATCCTGTTGTGACTCCGACAAACCCTTAATTCAAGTTGAGTATATACCAGTGTCCCAACACTGATGTTGAAAGAACTTATATGAATAACATTTCATATGCTAATATAGTGGATTCTTTGATGTATGTTATGGTATGTACTAGACCTGACATAGCATATGCAGTAAGTCTTGTAAACAGGTACATGGCGAATCCTGAAAAGACTCAATGTATGCAGTTGATAAAGCTGCATGACGAAAGCTAGTTTCTTGATGCTATAGAGTTAGATCCAAGGTGGAGATTTGTGAGATATTGGATCAAACTCTAGTATGGTCGAAAGGTAGCTTTTGGTTCGACATGAATTAAGCATGAGGTCGAAGTCTGTTCGCATGCTGCTGTCGAGGATAACGCGTGTTGTAGTCGAAGTTTGTTCTAACATGCATTAGTCAATGTTGCTAGGGTTGTTAGCATGTTGAATTGGGCCTTACTTGTAAGCCCAATTGTTTAAGTTGGCTTGTACCATAAGTTAGCTTGTAATGTATAACTGTTAAAAAGTCCACTAGGTTAGTGTGCTATTTTTCTTATAAATAGGACACTAGTTTCTCAATCTTGTCAATAAGAAAAAATAGGAAGATAAAATCTTAATTTCAAGATAGAGAGGTTATTTTGTTATTCTTGTTCTAAAAGTAAGAAAAGAATAGCAGTTTAATAACCAATCATTGTCGTTCCTTGTTGTTTTACCTTGTCGTCTTTGTTAACCCTAACCCTTGTGTGTTTTTGATCATTAAGAAATTGTTTATACTTTGTTTTAAGGTATCCGATTCACAATAAGTATCATTGTTAAATCCTTATAGTATATGAAATAAACCATTATAGTCCCTTTAATATATTAAAATCCATCGTGTTATTAGTCATTTATATCTTAATAGCAGAAATTAAATTAGTGACAGATTTCAAGGTTTTAAATAACCTTCATATTGCGGTCGCGTAAATATTTTTATAATTTTGGTATGTACATGTGTTGCGACGTGATGTTGACTGTGGTTTAATCAAAATAATTTATTCTTTGTCACAAAAATATTGAATAACGATATTGGTATCAGTATCTTCCGATACCATTTTGTTGCGGTCGTTTTTTGCTGGACTGTTTTTTAAAAACTTGGATTTCATATATTTATGGACTAAATTGATGTTTTATTTTAATTTATGCTGATTGATAATGAATGAAAAACAAATATAAATGTAACTGCAAACAAACACAAGACATAATTGGGGATGAAATCTTGGTTGAGAGTGAGTGACTTGATGTTGGAAGGAGAGCGAAATTGGTTCCTTATGACAAGTGTGATTAGAGTCAGAGCAAAGAGGTAAATCATATGGCAAATGTTGTTCAATGTAAGAGGAGGAAACTGGTTATTAATTTGGAAGTTGCATGTTCTTCGAAAGGTTAAACATTTCATTGCAGGTTTGGAAAATCGCAGGTTCTCTCTCTGGATGTAGCACAAACAAGTCCCACATTGAGTGAATTATGATTAACTCTATTGTATATATATCATACACAAACAAACTATATTTAAACCTTGTAGACTAGAGAAATGGGCCAAACCTTTGGTTCAATCATTAAATTTTTATTAATTACCTTTTATACAAGTTTCAAAAAAAATAATAAAAAATATGAATATAATTTACAAATAAAATGACACAGATAATAAAAAATTAATAAATTGTATGTCACGTCATCAAAAAATTGCCACATATTAAATTAAAATTAAGGATGGAATACCAAAACTATTTAAAAACAAAATATAGAAACTGATTTCATAAATAAGATATAATAGAGGAATCAAAACTATAATTTAATCAACAATTTATCATTTTATTGTGAATATCTCATATTATAATACTTAATCCAAACACAAAAATCTTACCTTCAAACTTTCTAACCAATAATATTTAATATAAAGATAAATAATTAAAATAAAACATACCTATTAAGGTTTATTCTAACAGAAGAAGCTAACTCATCTTTTACAACATAGTCAACAAAACTTTGAATTTATTCAAGAAAATATATTTAAATTTAGGGTTTGTTTTGAATATAACTACTTAGAGAGGGAAAGATTGAACAATAATAATTTAATCTAGTTTTTTTTCTTTAAAAATAAAATAAAATAGGTTTATATATCTATCATTAAGTGGGTCCAATCCAATGTTATGTTATCTCATCTAGAGTATCAAGATGAATGGATGAAGACATTCCCACCAACATTGTAACCTCTTTCTCTTTACAAAACAAAACATAAACCTCAAATCTTTGTTCAAAACCTTATCTATCTATTCCATGTTCTAACTTCCACTTCCACTGTCTATCCCTTTCTCTGTGATTTCAATGGCATCATCTATCATCCCTCGTCACTACTGTTCCAACTTTGCCTCTACCCCCATTTTGTTTCACTCCAATACTCACTCTAAGCCTCTTAATTACTCTTTTTCTCATACCAATCTTGGACTAAGAAGTTTCACTACTCGTTGCTCTTACCAACCACCACCAACCCATCATTCTCAATTCGATGATAAACATGTAAGTTTCTTTTAAAAATTTGATCTTTTTGTAATCACATGTTGTTTCTTTGGGATGAATGAAGGTTTTGCAAGTGATTCTGAACATTTCTTAAGAACAAATTTGATTTTTAAATTCTGAGGATTGTGCACATTGATGTGAATATATGATACCCCATTAGCAAAAAAATTAGTTTCACGACTTTATCTTGTTTAGAATTGATGTTTAGAAGATGAAATTTTGTATTTTTAGTGTTTTTTTTATTCATTTCATGTTCTTGTATAATTAGTTTATTCCAACATAGATTTGAAAGCATTGTAATGAGACTTGTGATTACTGCTATGTATGATTCGAGTCGTTGCAAAGCTTATCTTGTTAAATTTTTGTGCAGAAAGGGAAGTCATTTTGCTTCAAGCAAAGTGTGATATCTATAGCACTTGCGGTCGGGTTAATAACGGGAGTTCCTACGTTGGGATGGCCTAATGATGCGCAGGCAGCTAACTCTGCGTTATCTGATCTGTCTGTATTGATATCTGGACCGCCGATTAAGGACCCTGGGGCATTGTTGAGATATGCGCTTCCTATTGACAATAAGGCGATTAGAGAAGTGCAAAAACCGCTCGAAGATATTACAGATAGTCTCAAGATTTCTGGTGTCAAGGCACTTGACTCTGTCGAAAGAGTATGATTCCTATTCTTTTTAGTTTAACTCTGTAATCTCAAGGAATAGAGTTCAAGGGTCTTCAGAAAGAACTTTTTCAATATGATTTTCTATGTATTTTTTATAAGGATAGAAACCGAGCTATTTTACATGATATGCAGAATGTGAGGCAAGCATCTCGAGCTCTCAAGCAAGGGAAGACTTTAATTGTATCGGGTTTAGCTGAGTCAAAGAAAGAACATGGAATTGAACTACTTGATAAGCTGGAAGCTGGTATCGATGAGTTTGAACTGATACTACAAGATAGAAATCGAAGCTCCGTTGGACCAAAACAGAAAGAACTTCTTCAATATGTTGGAGGGTGAGTATCTCTTGATTACTATATCACCTGCATAAACCGTATAAAGACCCTATCCTTCCCTTGATTTTTGCAGTAAGAATAAGATGACTTTTTTTATAGAAAAAATAGGAAAATGGTTTGTGCTATAAGCATTTTTTCTAATCGATAAATTGCTCTATAGTCATTAAATGTACTATAGGTGTTAACGTAAACCTATTAGACCAAGTCGCTAAACCTCGACTAATCATTAGTTAAGTTGTTCTGGTTATCATAACCATCTGTCCCTAAAATCGTAATGTTGGACTAACTATTGGCCAATGAAAAGCATTCATTTTGACAATATGATTTGTTTGTGGCCTCTAGATCACTGGTTTAACAAACCGACAAAAACATCAATCCTCATATATAGCCTTTGATTGACTGCAGCTGAGATGTTCCTGGGGCATTGCATTTCTGCAGTATTGAAGAAGACATGGTTGATGGATTTCCATACGAAGTGCCCGAGGAATACCGAAACATGCCTTTATTGAAAGGGAGGGCAGCTGTAGATATGAAGATCAAGATTAAAGACAATCCGAATGTGGATGCATGTGTTTTCCACATAGTTCTCGATGGTTATAATGCCCCTGTAACTGCAGGCAATTTTGTCGACTTGGTAGAAAGACACTTCTATGATGGCATGGAGATTCAAAGAGGTAATAAATCTGATATTTAACGCATGTTTTTTTTCTTCCATTTATTGAAATATGTAATTTTGTTTATGGAGTTCAAAAATAGGCACTCTAGTTATATACATTTCACCAAGATAGTATTCTTTTGTTTTGTTTTCGTCTTTTTTGTGCAGCGGACGGGTTTGTTGTCCAAACGGGTGACCCTGAAGGTCCTGCCGAGGGTTTTATCGATCCTAGTACCGAGAAAATAAGGACTGTACCTTTAGAGATTATGGTAGAGGGGGAAAAGGCTCCTGTTTATGGAGAAACTCTAGAGGTAATCCTCGATTGATTGAATGCTTGTCTAAAACTTGTTTACACCGACGATGCATACCAATTAAATTTTATATATATCACATCAAGCTCATTGCTCTAAGACTTAGAGATTGCTATCTTAGAAGTTAAGTGTTGTTTCTTGTTTGTACAGGAGCTTGGTCTATACAAGGCTCAGACAAAGCTTCCGTTTAATGCGTTTGGGACAATGGCAATGGCAAGAGAGGTAAGAGTATATTCTTTGAAATGGCCATTCTTTACGCATGTTTATCACTTTTCTAAAATAGTTTTAACAAACGAACCTTTCGTTTGCTACGTTTTTGTTTTGAGTAGGAATTTGAGGACAACTCCGGCTCTAGCCAAGTATTTTGGTTATTGAAAGAAAGTGAGTTAACTCCGAGCAATGCCAATATATTGGATGGTAGATATGCTGTTTTTGGCTATGTAACAGAAAATGAAGATTTATTAGCAGATCTTAAGGTTGGTGATGTCATAGAATCTATTCAAGTTGTTTCTGGTTTAGATAATTTGGTGAATCCAAGTTACAAGATTGCTGGTTAAGGAATCTTTATGTTCTCCGGCTATTAAATATTCGGCGGCGCAAGTGGTCGATTGACACTTGGTTCAACCTTAGAGGCTATTGGAGAAGGTTGATTGTTGTTACACTGTTACCAGAATCTAGCATTGAGTTAAACAGCTTGAGATATATTCTATTTTTTTTCTAAGACTGAATTGAAAACGGCTTGTAGCTTTTATTCAATCAATTCATCAATGAAATTATGAACTGTTTTTGTGAGGAAATACAGTTTCTGACATTCATGTACTATAGGATATTCTTATGAGAAAAAAAATGTTAACTGTTTATCATCTAAAAGGAGAACATAATGTGATTCTCGCGAGTTGTTATAAATTAACTAACTTATTGAAGAGAATAGCATCTTACGCAACTTTCAAATCGATGAGATCACCTAATGTCTAACTGAGGTCATCAGTTTCAACCTGCTTCTATCAAAAACCGCATGCAAACATTGATTACGATATCATACAACAGATTTTGTTTTTATATTATACACACAATATGGAGTAAGTGGTTTGTGCGCAATATGTGTGAGTGTTGTAAACTTCAGAGCGTCGAGTTCGACTGCAATATGTGTGAGTGTTGTAAACTTCAGAGCATCGAGTTCGATTCATATTGTAAAAAACAGATCACATCAAATGGAACCATGAGGAACTTGATATTAGTGTTGGAACAATCCATGCTACAACTTACATAGAGAAACATATTATAAAAATGGTTGGAATGAAAATGAAGAGTACAAATTAGCTTTACAAAAATTATAGCCTAACAAAGTAACAAAGTAATGGTAGAGCTCTTCATTAACTATGCCTTTCACTCACTTTTTTGTGTATTCCATCTTGGTTCTTTCTTCTCTGTTGCTTGCGTGAGAGTGGAAAATATTTCAAGGTCCTCTATACTTGCGGAAACATAAACAACTTTGTTGCTGATCAAGAGGGATCATACCTCCGCCCTTTGAAGTGTCGATAGCTTCCAACATGAGGACAACTTCATCCATTTCTGGCCTCTTATCAGGATTAGCATCCCAACATCTTTTCATCACATTTGCGAGAGAGCTCGGACAACATCGCGGAATCTCTGGCCTTAGATTCTGAAGTAAAAACAAGCATATTGGATTTTATCAACGCTCAACCTTAGACATCATTGTATTTGTATAAGACCTAATAGTTTTCGAGGAACAAGGAATATCATTCCCGGTAACAAGATTTTATACCTTGAAAGTTGAAACAAATGCATCCTAATAGTATTCTGTGTAGTTTTCAATTTTTTTTTTACCGAAGATGTGTTAATTTATGATGGTAACGCCGCTGCTTGATACATTTCACTTACCTGTCTTACAACAGCTGATGTTACTTCTGAGAAACTGAGATCAGGATATGGCATGTCACAGCAGTATATCTCCCATAAGCATATTCCGAAACTATAAACGTCGCATTTTCTATTGTATGCACTGCCATTTAGAACCTGCAAATATTTATAAAAGGAACAAATTGTCACTTTTGCAAAACCAAACCACTTTATAATGGCTCAAAAATAAGACAGATATATGTATGCGCGACTGTGATTTAGGCCACATCAACTGGCATTTGACCGCAACTTTCTGTAATATCTAGGATCGAAGCAAATGCGGTCTCACATGACAATATCAATGCACAAGAGATGCTTTCAATGGGAAAAAAATGCATGTACCTCAGGAGCCATGTAACCAAGCGTTCCAGTTTCACCAGTCATGTCATGAGGATTCGAAGCTTCAATACGAGCTACCCCAAAATCAGCGATTTTCAACGTGCGTGACTTGTCTAGAAGCATATTTTCAGTTTTAACATCTCTATGGACAATCTTCTTTATGTGGAGATAGCTCAACCTATAAAGTAAGAGAATATAAATAATTCTTAGGCTTATAGAAAGAAAAATCATTATCATGTTAAAACTTATAATGACACAGATTAGGCATATGGATTGAACCCTCTTGCAAGGTCAAGAGCTAGTTGAACAACCACTTTAAAAGCCAGCTTCCTTCTTCGGTTTTTAATTAGATATGACTTCAAAGCACCACCAGGACAATACTCAACGACAACACAACAAAGATTACTCGGCATTCCTATATGACCGTTTTCCGTTTGTATCTGTAGGTCTGATGTTCCCATTGTTGCACCAAGAAACTACAAAAAACCGATAAGAAAACTCAAACATGAATGTTTGAATCTGAGGAAAAAGCCAATGCAGGCAATTTCACATGTTTCATTCGTAGTAGCAAATGAAGAACATAAACCGGCCATAGTACGCTATTCACAATACCTTCGACCATAGTACACTATTACCTTGGTTACATTAGGATGGTCAAGCTTGTGCCAAACAGCAACTTCTTGTGTAAAAGCCGCTCTCAATGAAGCTATTTCGGCGTCTGACCGATGTCCCTCTTCCCCCCAATCAAGAAGCTTAACTGCGAAAACAAGATGAAAACATAAGTTGATTATTATTGAATCGTTTGAAGAGAAAGTTGCAGAGTTAACAAGTTTAGCATCCATGAAGCTTAAGATAATAGTGTTTTACTTAGAACATCATGAAAAACATGAAAACTTAAAAAGGTTATTAATATTATTGATAAATATTTTTATGAGTCAGAAGTGTATGTGGCAACATAATCACATGTCATTAGCATAAAATAATTTTCATTTTATTTTATTTTTTTATTTTATTTTATTTTTTATTTATCAATCTTTATAAGACCTTGTGATGGTAAAATCAGGTGTCTATCAGTAATTAACAAAGAACACATGAAAGTTGAAAAAAAGAGAGAAGAATAATAAAGTTCATGGACACAACTGTCAAGTCAAGTGGATCTTGTGAGTTTTAGGAAAGAAAAAAAGGCAAAGGTTAGTACTGAATCCTGTGAATCACAGATTTTTAAAAATCTTGATTTAGAAAGTTTTAATATTGCGGTCCAAAATCGATAAAAAAATGTCAAACTCTATCAACTAACATGGTTCTTTACAGAACTCATGAAAAAAGCATAATGAAATCACAATAACAAGTACTTGACAAAGTTGAGAAAACTGCAAAACTTAACACAAAAACATCATTTTTAATTCAAAAAAACTCTTCAAAGTTATTTATTATACTTTCATTTTAAGCTAAGACCTAAAACAAATACAAGTTTTTTCTTTTTTTGTCAAAATATCGAATAGGATTCAGTTAGGTAAAAATCTCATTTGCACAACAGCATCAAAGTTTTTCATGTCTCGCAACAACAAACGTTGCAATAGTCTCATTTAAATACGACTTTTTGCAGTATCAAGAATCGCAGCAGCATGACTGCAACTTAAAACTTGTCTATACATAAGATTCTCCAAATGAACAAGATTGCCTCTTGCATATATGCATGAGATGTTAAACAAAAATGGTATAAGAAACAACAAAAAACGCGCTCGCACACATACACACAAAATGTTCGATATGACACATAGTTTACTAGTTAGTGATCAGGTCGCTCGAACTGGCGAGAATTTAAAGACAATTTAAAATCTATAAACCTTAAATTTGAATAATAGAAAGGTACTCTAGCAACTCTATAGACACAATTGACCGAACTACGTAATCAAAGCTCGTGCATTCTCTGCTAACAATTTTCATATTTTGGTTTAAACAAAAACACAAACAACAAGTATGCATAAAACTAGAAAGAGAGAGTGCAATGCAAATATACCAGCAACATCTAGGCCATCATAAACACCGCGATGAACAGTACCAAAAGTGCCACGAGCAATGACAGTTTTGATGATAAGTTTAGAAGGATCAATCTCCCATTCTTGTCTAGTATTAGAAGAAGACCTTCCTATAACTTCACCCCCTTCATCTTCTTTCTCCTTATTCTTCTTCTCCATAGTCCATGCTCTACTAAGATGCCTCTGTAATTGTTCATCTAAACTCTTGAGATCTATTTGATCTGCTCTCACATATCCACCACTCTCACTCTTCTTCATTCTCAAAAATTAAAAACACCCTTTACTCCTTTTGGTGCTAGAACTAGTTAGAAACCGTAAAAGTTGCAAACTTTGGATTCAAGAGTTTGTTTTGAGGAAATTTTCATTGATGGGTCAGAGTGTGTTTGTTGCTTTTTTTGGTGAATTCATAAATATAATGGTGGTTTTCTGTGGATGTTTAATGAAACAATAACATAAAGATAAATAAAATGTTGGAGTTTGTGAAAATTTTGTATCTGTATCTCTCTCAATCATCCATGTGGGCACATGGATTTTGCCTGAACACGACGTTTGTTTTTTTGACCCACTTTGGTCTCTATTTATTGAAACCAGAGATCTCTCTTTTTATCTACGTGCTTCTGCCTTATTGGCTCTTCTTTGGTGTATATATAAGAATCCATTGTCAAATTTAACATATAATTTTTTTAACTCAATATTTGTATTATAAAATTCATATTTAGATTGAATATAATATCGGTTCTATTGGGAATTAGAAATGTATTAATGGACGGAGTGAGACAAACATGTTAGAAGGTGCGAGTTTAAAATCTTGATCTATTTTATAAAAAATACAAATCAAATGGACATGCATGGAGGGTGTGATCCGTTTTGCCACACCTACTTAAAAACTCTTATATATGAAGAGAGGTCGGAGATCCTCTCACTTTCATGCTTTGCATGCGGAAAATCGTTAGAAGATAACAAACGGTGAATAACTGTATGTGGTGTAAATTGAGTAAGGTCTTGAGATAACATGAACATTGTCCTAACAATATCTTATAATTTTAAATTGATAATTGAGTCTTTTCATTATTGAATCATTTAGATATGGCTCAGAACTAGAGTCGTTAAAATGAGCTAATTCGTATGGATCAGTCCGTCAAATCTAAAAAGTCCTATACTTAAATTAGAATTCATATTTTTCACAACTTTTTTAAGTCGACCTTAAAAAATATGCTATGGAAGTGAAAAATGTCATCCCTAGTAGTTTTTTGTTTTGTTTGGGATAGTTATTACCTTTCCTTCCGTTTCATTTGTGTCTCCTTTTTCTTTATTCCATTATGGGATTCACGGTTGTTGTACCTTTCTCTATATTGACATCTCTTTCAAATAAGTTTGGCTTCATTAATGAATTGATAATACAAATGCTTTTATTAAAAAAAGGTGTTACTTAGTTACTAGCCACAAAGAAAATTGTGTGACTTGTAATCATGTTTACAGAATTGGATAAAATAGTCACACTGATCAGATGATTTTCACACTTCACATAATCATATTATAAATTTGGCAAGCTTCATCAAAATGTATAACATTCAATTTGACCATAATCTACCGACATAGTTACAATAGATAAATAATCTCTCTCTCTCTCTTAATTTTTTTATAGATAAATAAGCATCCTTGAATTTAAGTTAGAATTTATTTATAATATTTTATTGTTGGAAGTTCAATATTGTTTGAGTCAATTGAATCCGTGTATAATAATGGATTTATGGTTCTATGCCAACATGTATGGTTAAAGAAAGAAAATAGAATAGATTTATTGAAAAGTTCTTTTTTTGGTCGACAAATAGATGAAGAGGTGCATCACGAGATCTCTCCATGAGGTGTATCATATGTGTATCAATTCCTCATATTCTATGTGTATCTCACTGGTAGATATTAAAATTTGATTAAATGATTTAAGACAAAGCATAAAAGAAATGAAAATTTGAAAATTTGTGTAGGTGTTGAAAGTACAAAAGTCACAAAAGAGACCTTCGAAATTTATGTCTACTTTTTTTTTTTTTTACTTTAGAAATTATGACATTTATAGAGATTACGCGGGTTTATCTAGGAGCAGTTTTCTTAGTTTCATCATCAAAAATATAGAGTAGAGAAAACTCGTTTTCCTTCAAATTGTGGGCAGATAATTTTCCTCTTTCAATGACATATTTGTTGGATACAAGTTTGAGTGGTTAAAGTCTCACATTGCTTATGAATGATTGAAATGTTGGATTTATAAGATAGGTGACTTATTTACATAACATCTTAAGGTTTTGGGTTAAGATGTGATGTCTCCCTCTCTTGTGGTCCTAGAGCGCTAGTCTCACCATAACTTCCGACTCTCCCAGACTCCCCAATAGTGGTATCAGAGTCGTGATTCGGCTTGGTGGGGAAGCGGGAGCTGGATCTGATGTTGGATCCTGCGATAGGATGTGAGAGACTCACACTTGTGGGGAAGAATGTTGGGTGCAAATGTGAGTGGTTAAAGTCCCGAGTTATCTATGAATTGGTGGATTGTTGGATTTATAAGAGGGATGACTCATTTACCTAATACCTTAAGGTTTTGGGTTGAGATGTGGTCTCTCTCTCTCTCTCTCTCTCTCTCTCTCTCTCTCTCTCTCTCTCTCTCTCTCTCTCTCTCTCTCTCTCTCTCTTGTGGTCCTAGAGCAAGGCTTTGGGTTGAGACGTCGTCACTCTCTCTCTCTCTCTCTCTCTCTCTCTCTCTCTCTCTCTCTCTCTCTCTCTCTCTCTCTCTCTCTCTCTCTCTCTCTCTCTCTCTCTCTCTTGTGATCCTGGAGCATTAGTCTCATTGATACTCTCGACTTTTTCGTACTCCTCAATAATCTTTCTAATGATATTCCTCATAAACATGTGTGATAAGTAGGACATGTTATGGGTGGTGGATCCAAGCCCTATCATGTGGCTCGCCATGCCCTTTTAAGCGACCACATCCTTTCATGCGCCCGGTGTAACACCCCAGAAATTATATTAAAACTTTATTAGATTTTTATTTAGATTTTTGGTATGCTTTATGATTTATTGTGTTATTGTTTAGAGTATTAATAAAATAAAATAAGAATTTTATTAATATAAATATGATAATAATAGAGAATGGGAAAGGTTGTGGTTATTTAAAATTTATGGGCTAAATAATGAGATTTAATCAAATAAAGGAAATTAGTAAGAATGAACAAATAAAGTAAAAATAAAGCTTATTTTTTATATATAAGGGGGAAGGAAGTTTAGAGAACGTGTCAGGAGAGAAAAAGGAAAAAAAGTTAAGGCAGTCATAGAAGAGAGTTTCAAGGTTGGAACTTGCATCTCCAAAACGTTAAAGAGTTTCGGCTTAATCGAGGTAAATTAGGATATTATTTCATAATGTGTGTTAAGCTTAGGGATAGTGGAATTTTCTTAGCCCTTTTTCTCTTATATGATGCTATTGTTGAATTATGTGAGATTTGTTTAAAACCTCCATAATTATGTTATTTGTAGATTTTGATTGTATATTGTTAATATTGATTTCGTTATTATTTATGTGAAATTCCTGTATATCTATGCTAAAAATTTGATTGTTGATGTTCATATGTTATGTGATGATTTGAATGAATAAAACATGAATAAGTGATGTTGTATGTGTCTGATTAGTATTCTTTGATGTGAAAACTATTGTATATTTGTGTATATCGAGTTCTGGATTTTTATCTGACATGAAATTGGAAAATTTTGGGTCTGGATCTATACTCATGAAGACAATGCAGAAAAACACTTTTCTGTAGTGATGATGGGTGTCACCCTAGATGACAGTCCACCCGTCATCGCGTTGAAGAATGTGATGAGTCATCGCTTGATGACGTGTGTCACCAAGCCTGGCGGGCAGGCCGTCAGCACACCGCAATGGACATCAAGCCCTCGACGACCGTCAGCGATGACAGGTAAGATTTTCCTAGAGGCAACGATCGTCAGGACCGTGACGGTCGGACCATCAGCATTGTTGTTGACTGATTGTGATGTTTTGACCCATTTTTCGCAAAAGCTATGATTCCTCAGCTTAATTCATTATGTTAAGTGATTATTTATTGAGGAAATGATTATTATTGATTATTGTTTATTTAGTTTATAGACGCCTCGTGGTTAGGCCTATTGAAAGTTTATGGTTTTAGGTTCAAGGCGAAGCATTGTTTAGCTCTAATAGGCAGTGATTGATGTGAATTATGTTTGTGTTCGAAAACCAGTGTATGATATGTTTTAGGTTCAAAAAGACCAGTGTTAACCTTAACCTGCAATGTTTATAATTGGGGTAGGAGGTTCGAATGGAGATTATTTGCATTTGTCTGATCATGTATTGTGTATATCGAAGAATAACATAGGACTTCTGTCTAATGTTTAAGACTTTAATCCAGTGTGAAAGATCACTCAGTAAAATAACATTGATATCTAGAACTTCGGTCCAGTGATTAGGACTTTGGCCTAGTGGTTAGAACTTTGGTCCAATGTTAGGATTGGTACCACATGCACTGGAGTATAGGAAGTAAGCATTGCATAATGAAAATGTATATTGTATATTTGTGTTTACTGTGTATGCATGAAGTATATTATCCTTGTTGTTTATACACCGTTTAATTTATGGAATGTATTCTCACCTCTTTGTTGTCTCTATGTTTCTACCTTGTAATTTTATGCAGATAATTTCTCATGTTGAGACTGAGGAGTGATAGCTATTGTTTTACAGAGGATGGTGTAACACCTTTCTACCCCAAAAGAACATTTACGATAAATACAACGATTATATCAGAGTATATCACCACAAGGGTCCCACATTTCGTCAAAACATCACATTAACGTCTTACTCCGTAACATGGGTTATGTCAACATAAGTTAAATCAAATACTACGCAGCGGAAAATCACATTTCAACATAAATTATAACTCAAAAATCTTAAAACAAGAAATTCATAGCATCATGAGGTCAACAACAAAAAGAACACAATGGTTCGACTCAAACGTCCCAAACCGATGTTACATATCATAGCAAGATCCTCTACTTAACAAAAATAACTGAAATACTTCAAGGTTAATCTTCACGCACCAAGAAAGCTAATCCTGATCACCTGCACGTTACCCACGTGGAGGCAACATTCAAACAGGCAGGGTGAGTAATCACGAATCATTATACAAGATATAAAGATAAGATATATCAAGATAGCACTCATCATACAAAACAACATCATCATGAAA